AACATTAACTAGCAACAACCAAAAGACGATAATTGCAGATGAAAATTAAAAGAACTTTTCCCTTTTTAAATGGGTCGGATTGTTCTTTTCTTAACAAACTCATACATGCTACACATAATTTATGCTAACATGATATAGGCAATCAATCACAGCTGGATTTGCACAACACACCAAGTAATAAACCATGGTTTCAAAAGTATAGTTTATACAATCTGCTTGTTTCCACTAAAAGCTAAACTACACTTCATGGCTACACATTATCTGATCTCTTCCTAATGTTAAAATTCTGCTAACATTGTCAAGTACTGTTTTGTCAGAATAACACTGGGAGGAGGGAAAGGACATAAGATTGCTGGACCAAAACCACTGTGGATTAGGCTGAAGCCAAAGCAAATAGGGGAAAAATGTTCTTTAGCTTTCGATGCTCATATTTTTCTGCTGTCTTTTCTCCTCTCCCTCTCTCTGTGTCTTTCTTTTGACCAGCACATTATTGGGAAAAACATCTCGCCAGAAACCTGCTTGTAGTAACTATAGAGTAGCCCAGTGTTTCTTAATCTCAGCAATTTTAAATTGTGTGGACTTTGACTCCCAGACTTGAGCAAAAACGATACACAAAGTCAGAAGCGCTCCTTCTCAATTATTTCTGAAGTGAGCACAACCCTAAAAATAATTCTTTCTTAGCCTGAAAGTTAGCCAAGTCTTATCTACCCTGACTGGCAGATCCGCAGTGTCGCAGATGGAAGTTTTTCATATCATCAGCTACCTTATTTATTTTTAAACGAGAGATTCTGGGAGTTTCGTTCTGGAATTGTGCCTATACCAAGCAGGTGCTTTGAGCTGTTGCCAAGCTGCCAAAAACTTGAAGACTGAAACCTGGCAGATAATATCTTGATGTGCATAAATTGGCAGGATAAACCTAGGAATGGTTATAACCATTATTTGCATTGCTAAGACTACATACACAAAACACCCACGCTGCCAAATAAAAACAGCAGGATGTAAAATTGAAATTGGTTTCCTGTATAAGGGGGACTTCTGTTTTCCATAATATAAATGTAAATCTATGTAAATATTATGTTGGGAATTTGGGAATGGAATTAAAGATATACCCAGCACACAGTGCCCCCAACACACTACTACTGCATATATTTACAGCGGCACGGACAGCCTTTGCACAGAAGTGGAAAGAGAAAGATACCCCAACTGAAGAGGAAATACTACTAAAAATTTTCAACCGCGCAGAAATGGATAGAGTCACTTTGGAACTCAAGGATAAAAGCGAAAAGCGGAGATAAATGTGTAGTGTTAGATTGGGGTGTGTTGATCAGTGGTGGGTTACTCCCGGTTCGGCCTGGCTCGGCCGAACCGGTAGCAGTGACGATATGATGTCACAGAACCGGTTCTCTTTGTTTGGGAGCTGCCCCCCCCCGTTATTCTTACCTTTTATTTGGCCCCGTCCCCAATCTATTTGCTGCCTCCCGAGTCCCAGCTGATCAGCTAGAAGGAAAAAAACTGTTTAAACTCTTGCCTCAGGGCTTCAAAGGGCCACCCTACAGCTGATCAGTGTTAAAAGGCAGTGTGGTAGACCGGGACACTCGAAAAACAAATGGGTAGACCGGGATGCTCCAAGAACAAATGGGTAGACCGGGATGCTCCAAGAACAAATGGCTAGACCAGGACACTCGAAAAACAAATGGGTAGACCGGGATGCTCCAAGAACAAATGGGTAGATTGGTGTCTCCAAAAACAAATGGGTAGACCGGTACACTTCTGCAAGCAGTTAAAAACCTGGTAGACCAGTACCTCTGCTAAATCCTAAAGAATTGTCACATGACCATCAAACCACACCCACAAAATAAGCCACACCCACAGAATAGGTAATAAAATTTTTTAGAACCCACCCCTGGTGTTGATGGCTGGCTTTTAAGTCATTAGCTGTCCTTTGTTTGTGCTGCCCAGCCCTTGTCTTCTAAGTCAGTGTTGGCAAACCTTTTTGGCACTGAGTGCCGAAACGGGAGCATGCACAAATGAACGCACACGCACGTACCGGAAACTGGAAGAGCAGCCGCCCGGTGTTCATGTGCGCACCGGGCCGCTGTTTTTCCGGTTTCCAGTGCATGCATGCGCACCGGCCACCTGGTTTTCTGATTTCTGGCGTGCATGTGTGTGCAAAGACCAGCTGGTTGGTGCGTATGCCTACACAGGAAACTGGAAGAACAGCGGCCCAATGTGCATGCACGTGCTGGGAAGATGATCTTCTGGTTTCCGGCACACGCATGAACACCGGCCACCTGGCCTTCTAGTTTCATGTGCGTGTGAAGACTAGCTGGCTGGCGCACATCGGAAACCGGAAGATCATCTTCCTGGCATGCACATGCACGCAAGGCGGCTGCTCTTCTGGTTTCTGGCGCTCCCCTGCATGTGAAGACCAGCTGGCTGGTGCTGAAACCCGGAAGAGCAACGGGCGATGGCTCACGTGCCCGGAGAGATGGTTCTCTGTGCCACTTCCGGCAAGTGTGCCATAGGTACTTGATAGGCTGGTGGTAAATCAGCACTCCTGTTAACTGACAAGGGGCGTGTTTCCCAGGCTTCAATCACCTCCCTGGCTGTTTTTGTGCCTGCTCATCCAACAATTTTAGTAGCTGCAAAACTGAATGTGTGTCATTGTTCGTTGCAGTGTGAGGCTACCAAGGAGTTCGGGTCTCCTCGTCTGACCGCTTGCTTGTGTCCTTGCAATCTGGTGGTTAGCTTCCTCCCCGTCTGTCCTACATAGTCTCAGGGGGGTAGATTATGGAAATAAAGAAACTCGTATGGAACCTTAAAGAGATTGAGTAAAATAAAAATGTACTTATTATTGTTGTTAAGATTAGATACTTCTTATTATTTCCCCCCCTTTTTTCTATCTCTTTTTTTACTGTACTTGTACATTTAATGAAATAAGAAAGCCAGCTCTTGTTTTCTTCCTGAAGTTTTCCGAGTAATGCTAAAAAAGTGATTTCCTATGTCTATTCTGAAAAATTTCCTTACAATTTCCCTGCCTCACTGGGATTTTCCCCACGGTCTCCCGCTCAAGTAACAAAGCAGATCAGATTCTTCTAGAGATCAACCAACTTAGTGCCAGATGCCGCAAGGCATGATTAAAAATGAATGGGAATTCTCTGAAGGAACGTTGCAGCCTGAACCATCAAGTCTATATTTATCTGAGGAAACTCCCTTTAGGAACTGGTGCAGCAACTCGTGCAAAAACCACGTCATTGGTTTACACAACGTGAACGACGCGTTCCTGTTCACACGTTCCACATTCCGACCATTTTTAAAATGCAGGTAGTCCTCGACTTGTAACAGTTCCTTTAGTGATCAAAGTGACATCGAAAAGTGACTTAGGACAGTTTGTTTAGTGACGGTTTGAAGTTTACAACAAGTCACTGAAAGAAGTCACGATCGATTTTTGACTTACGACCGATTTTATTTATTTATTTATTGGTTCGATTTATATGCCGCCCTTTTCCGGAGACTCAGGGCGGCTTACAATGCGTTAAGCAATAGCCTTCATACTTTTGTATATACCTGCTTAGTAGGGCTTTTTGGCCCCCCCCAAGCGGTGTTCTTTTTTTTATATACAAAGTCAGCTTATTGCCCCCCACAAACTGGGTCCTCATTTTACCTACCTCGAAAGGATGGAAGGCTGAGTCAACCTTGAGCCTGGTGAGATTTGAACTTGCAGTAAATTGCAGGCAGCTGGTGTTACTTAACAGTGCTTTAGTCTGCTGCGCCACCAAGGCTCTTTTCACACTTAACAACCACTGTGGTTTTTTCCCCCATGGTCACGGGATCAAAATTCAGACAACTGAATCATAGTTATGACGGTTGCAGTGTCTCGGGATTGTGTGCTCAGCTTTTGCGACCTTCTGACAAGCCAAAGTCAATGGGGAAACCAGATTCACTGAACAACTGTGTTACTAACTTACACAACCACAATGATTAAATAAAATTTTAAAAAAGCCTGACTAGGTGGCTCAGCGGCTAAGACACCGAGCTTGTCAATCAGAAAGGTCGGCAGTTCGGCGGTTTGAATCCCTAGTACAGGTCTCCTGTGTGAGCAGGGGGTTGGACTAGATGACCTCCAAGGTCCCTTCCAACTCTTGTTACTGATTTGCTTAACAACTGTGGCAAGAAAAGTTGTAAAATGAGGCAAAATCCACTTACTTACTTTACTTATTATATTTCTATACCGCCTTTCTCCCGTAGGACTCAAGGCGGTGTACAGTCAAGAAAAATATAGACACACAAACATCATAAAATTGCTAATTAAAATTATTATTTAGTTTGGTCAATTAAATAAAACCCAGAATTAGATAACATTTAACTTAACTGTCTCGCTTAACAACATAAATTTTTTTGGGGGGGCTCCATTGCGGTCGTTAAGTCGAGGACTACCTGCAGCAAAGCAGCCACGGAATGGAAGGGAACGACGGCACCCACGAGCGATTTCCCTCCCGCTCCCACCCCTCAGGAATGCCGGTGACGTCATCGCCCAAGAAAAGAGAGGCGGGAGGGGGAAAGACCGGGAAGAGGAAAAGAAAAGGAAAAAAAAAAAAAAACTCCGCAGCGTCCCTCGACCGACTGCGTCACTGCATTCTTCCTTGTGACGCAGCCCCAGCGGAGGAGGGGGCGGGGCGAGGAGGAAAAAAAGAATGACGGCAGGTCACGTGCAGGGGCGTGGCCCCACTGCCACCGCCCTCAAGGTGGAGCGCGTCACGTGGCCTAGAAATTTTTTTTTTTTAAAGCGAGGAGGGGGGGGCCCGGCGCGGGCCGAAGGAGGCCCCATTTAAAGAGAATGGTGCCTGTCACGTGATCCGGGCGTCCCGGAAAGACCTCGGAGGCGGCTTCTTCGGCGGCCATTTCCCCGTCCGCGCCTGCGCGTGTGAGGAGGGTGTGGGGGGGGGGGAAAAAAAAAAAAAGAAAAGAAAGGCGACGCCCACTCGGGCGGGAGCTGAGGCGGCCTTCTCCCTGGATGACAAACCCCGGCCCTTCCGGAAGGCGGAGCTCGCAGCCGGGCGTCTAAAAGGGTTGGGTGGCGGCGTTAAGGCCGGTCGGCCGGGGCTGCCCGCCCTCCTTTTTTTTTCCTCCTCCTCCTCCTCCTCCTCCCTCTTTCCCATCCCTGCTTCCCCGCCAAGGAGCAGCCGCGGCCGCGTTAAGGGAGCTTGGGCACCATGTCGGGGCAGAGCCTGACCGATCGCATCACGGCGGCGCAGCACAGCGTGACGGGCTCGGCCGTCTCCAAGACCGTCTGCAAGGCCACCACGCACGAGGTGATGGGCCCCAAGAAGAAGCACCTCGACTGTGAGTCCGACGCCGTCGCCTCCTCCTCTTCCTCTCGGGGCTGCCTTTACCTCAGCCTTTCTTCTTCCCCTCAGGCCGAGCCTCCTTCACGGCTTTTCTCCCGCTTTGTGAGGGGAGTGGGAGAAGAAGGGGCGCCTCCATTGCCGCCCCCCCCTCGGCGGGCCCTTTTGGGGCGGTGGAGCCTCGGGGATCCCCTCTCTTTCCCTCAGGGCTCCCTCCGGCGCCCTCGTCGTGGAGAAGGGACGGAGGGTGACAAACTTTCTTAGGGCAGCTTCTTGTTAAGCGAGCCCTCTGGGTTTCTTTTCCTTCCTATCCGCCTTCTCTCTCTCTCTCTTTTTTTTTTATTCCCCTCCCTCAAATCAAAAACTCTTGAAGGAATTTTGCCTTGGAAAAAAGCGCAGCGTTCCTGTTAAAATTTGGCCGCAAGGAATGAGGCGCCCCTTCGTGAAGAGATTTGTTTCGAAATAATAATAAATAGCAAATAATAAAACGTTCAGTTGACTGAGTTTCATGTTGGACGAATAAAAGTATAATCATCATAAAATAAAATAATATTTAGGATATATTTTTAAAGGTTCAATTGACTTGAGTTTCATGTTGAACGAATAAAAGTATAATCATCATAAAATAAAATAATATTTAGGATACATTTTTAAAGGTTCGGTTGACCGAGTTTCAATGTTGGACGAATAAAAGTATAATCATCATAAAATCAAATAATATTTAGGATACATTTTTAAAGGTTCAATTGACTTGAGTTTCATGTTGAACGAATAAAAGTATAATTATAAAATAATAATACTTGGGATACATTTTTTAAGGTTTGGTTGACTTGAGTTTCATGTTTAATGAATAAAAGTATAATCATTATAAAGTAAAATAATATTTGGGATACATTTTTAAATGTTCGGTTGACTTGAGTTTCATGTTTAATGAATAAAAGGATAATCAAAATAATATTTAGGATACATTTTTAAAGGCTCAGTTGACTGAGTTTCATGTTTAATGAATAAAAGGATAATCATAAAATAAAATATTGGTGATACATTTTTAAATGTTCAGTTGGCTGAGTTTCATGTTTAATGAATAAGAGAGAGAATAATAATAATAAAGGTCCTTTAAAATAATTCAGCACCATTAGTCTGATTAAGTCCCCCCTCTGATGCCACGCTGTTCCTTGTGCTTTTCTGTGGTTTTCCTTTGCTGCTTGACGGGGCTGCCTTTTAATTTTGGCTTTTAAATGAATTTTTCCTGTGCTTTTTTTTTTTCTCCTTCTCCTCCCCTAATGTCTTAAATCTGCATTTTTGTGGCAGCTTCTGCAGGGAGTATTTGTAATTTAATCCTGCCCCACCATCTCAGTTTTATCTGATTCAGAAGTTTCACCTCCTTTCAACCATTCGGTTCTTTTGACTCTTCGTAGGTATACAGGTGTGGTCCTCCACTAGGTAACCAAAAGCAAGAATACTAATACAAGTAGACCTTGACTTACAACAGTTTGTTTAGTGACCCTTTGAAGTTTACAACAAGTCACTGAAAGAAGTGACTTACAACCGATTTTCACACTTAACCACTGTGGCGTCCCCATGGTCACAAGATCAAAATTCAGAAGCTTGGCAAGTGACGCCTATTTATGACCGTTCCTGTGTCCTGGAGTCATGTGATCCCCTTTTGCAGCCTTCAGACAAGCAAAGTCAATGGGGAAGCCAGATTCACTTAACAACCATGTGATTAACAACTGCACTGATTCACTTAACTGTGGCAAGAAAGGCCATAAAATGGGGCAAAATTCACTTAACAGAATTTTTGGGCTCAATTGAGGTCATAAGTCGAGGGCTATCTTTACAGAATTGTCTGATGGCGAGATGGTGGTCTATAAATTTAATAAATAAATAGTGTGGGAAGTTTAATCATTCTTCCCCCTTCCCTTCCACAATTTTAGTTTACCCTTGGTTGTTTGTGAAAGTTGAGAAGCTGAAACCACTTTTCTGGTTTTACCCTGGTCCCGCCTTCAGCACAATAGGGATAAATTTGAATTAGGTGTCTCTAACTCTAATTGCAAAGGCAGTATAAATGATAATTTAAAATTTAAGAGATTAAGCAGCTGCTTAGGAAGCCAACAGTAGTAATTCTTCACCTATTAGCGAGGCTTTTGCTTTCCTCTGAATTGAATATTTTACTGAAATATTAAGTAGTTTTTAATGAAGTCATGTGGAGGGATATGATCTATATATTGGGTATCCATTAACATGAGAGGGAGGATTTTTGACATATGATGATCCTTGTTGTTACCTGTATTGGCCCTAAAGAGTTTTAATGCAAAAATGTCTTCGTTTCTCTTTTCATCCCATTTCATAACGTAAGCTGCATTGCAACATTACGATAATTTCATTTACTGCACTCTCAAATTTACAAGTGATACTTGTTAGCTTTAAGGCCTTCTTCCTGTTAATATGTGGGATCAGTCTTCAACTAAATGTGACAGGGAAAGCTAGCATTCAGTAAAACCACATTTTATTGACTGACTTTTCTGGCTTAAAATCGGGACTACAGCTATCACAAACTTGTCTGAAATTGCCTTGTGGTGTTATATAAAGTAGATCTTTGCATTCTGAGAACTTAATTGTAATTCAGAACCATCTCTCCAGCAAATTTTGCTCAACTTATAGTCTAGAACTAACTTGAAGAATGATTTCATGTGATTAATTTTGTACAGATTCTATGTTTGTAAAGCCTCTGTTCTGCATTTATAGTTCATTGACCCCAAACATGTTATTTCCTTCGCTTTCTTTTGGTTCCTTGCTCCTTATTAAAATGTCTGAAAAATGAGAAGAAATGGCATTTCTGGCAAACAAAATATTTGGCCTATGCTTCAGGGGTTTTTAAAATGTTTATTGGATATAATTGTCAGTAAATGTTCTTAGGTATTGGCTTAAAGTAGTGTTTCTCAACCTCAGCCACTTCAAAATGTGTGGACTTCAACTCCCAGAATTCCCTAGCCAGCAAGGCTGACTGAGGAATTCTGGGAGTGGAAGTCCATACATCTTTTTGCTGAGGTTGAAAAATACTACTTTAGAGAATTCTTGGAAAAGTCTTACTATTGTTTACTTTTGTGTGGGACTTGAGAATCTCAGTTTTATGTACACTTGAACACTAAGCATGTTTTTGAATAGAAAGCACTCTTCTTAGTACCTGTACAATTCTTTAGTCAAAAAGAGAGCTAAGGGGTTGTTTTTCTGCACTACCTTCATTATTTTGAACCATAATGTAGAGCTTTTTGCAAACAAGTTAATAGAATGGAGCCCGGCCTTTACCATATAATTTGGCCTATTGAAGCATTGAAAGCTATTTGTACCATTTGTTCAAGATCCAGTTCCATTTATCTTCTAAATGCAGATTTGAAATTCTTGTTTTTAATCTGCCAAGTGGTTCTGTTCTTAAGAAAGAGTTCAGAATACTTAGCTTCTTAATCCCCATTCAAATTGCCCACCATCATCCATAACTAACTGATTAACAGAATAATAGAGTTGGAAGGGATCTTCTAGTCCAACCCCCTACTCAAGCAGGAAACCCTACACCATTTTCAGATAAATGGTTGTGTCTAATCTCTTCTTAAAAACTTCCAGTGATGGAGCACCCACAACTTCTGAAGGGAAGCCATTCCACTGGTTCATTGTTCTCACTGTCAGGAAATTTCTCTTTAGTTCTAGGTTGGTTCTCCTTGATTAGTTTCCACCCATTATTTCTTTCCTGTCTTCAGGTGCTTTGGAGAATAGGTTGACCCTTTGCTCTTTGTGGCAGCCCTTGAGATATTGGAAGACTGCTATCATGTCAAGCCTAATCCTTCTTTTCATTAAACTAGACATACCCAATTCCTGCACACGTTCCTGCAATTGGGCTAATAAGGCCTTGGTTATTTTATTATATAAACAAAAGCCTGGATTCAACATTTTCTCTGCTAAAACTTCAGGTTTAATTTTCAGCTTTATGCCTTATCATTTCTCAAGCTAATATGGTACAGTGGTTGAAGTATCATAGAGAAAGTTTGAGTTGTTCATTATAACAGAAGTTAGATTTTTTTTAAAAAAACAGGTTAAATTTATGCTGCGTCTATAAGATTCAGGGAGAAACACCTGGAATTTTGAATGCTGCAGCCTTCAAATGCTTGATTGCATCTGTCCTTCCTGTGATTTGTCTACATGTTTTCTGTGAGCCGCATCTCTATACTAAATCCTTTAACTGACATTTATTTGACACTAGGAACACTGCAGCTTTCCAGTAATGCTTTTACCATATGCTCTGCTGTCTTTGGAATCCCAGGATTGAAAAATCCTCTGCTATGCTATTTTATAATTTCCAACACTCAGTTCTTTTTTATAACTCAACTCATTAATACAATAAAAATAATTACCTGCTCAGTATGTGCTCACATTGTTGTAATGTCAGTTATAATTGCCTTGTGGGTTGGGCTAGAACAATATCTAAGTCTGGACGAGATAATATGGAGACGGCTGTAGGAGATGACCAGGCTGAGGGAGGGGTCAAGCACATCATCAGTCTCAAGTGCCCACATGAGATCTAAGTCCAGATAACCTTGAATTCTTTTGACTCTTATCTACAGCCAAGTTGTTTTGACTATTAGTTCAGATTCTTGTAGAGTGTTTACCAATAAACCTGTTTTCATTTGAACCTGCCTTGATTCCTGATTTCCGTGCTTGACCAAGGCTTTGGCTAAGACAATTGCATTGGCAAGATTCCTATCATTTGTTTCATAGGGCTTTTTTACAATGAAGGTCAGATTTGAACTGTGAAATGTGGTTGCAGCTGCTGAAGTCTAGATGGATTGTATAAAGTGAGATCTCACACTAAAGCATGCAGAGTGATTCTGAAGTTCTTATCATTTTCCATTTAGTGGTTCTGATGCTTTCTAGAAGGCTTATAAAACCCATGTGCACTTTTAAGTAGCTTTCAGAGTTTTGTGATGGTTTTGTACTTGAAGATGC